GCGCGACCAGGTCTGTTTGTGGCAGGCCGCTGCACCGGGCCTCCGTCGAGCTCAGGCTGGCGAGTGGGTAGGTAAAGGCAGGCCGTGTCCAAAACTGTCCTTAGAGGTGGGAGCAAATGGATTTTGTTTCAACGCTTCCGAATTTGAACCGAACTCCTGCGAAATCGCTCAACATCTAGTGTGAGTCCCTTGGTTGAGGGGAGGACCCATCGACCCCTTGTTCCCCCTGGCTATGTATCTGTGGTTATCTGTGCAGCACATGCTAACAAGTCAAATGTATTTATGGGCACTCGTATGCACGCACATTTCTGGGCGAGATTCTGAGAGCGCAGGATATTTTGACGATATCATTTGCATTTGACGGCTAAGCCTCTGCAAGAAAAAGCAGGGCGTATTACAACACAAGCATGCGTTACGCAAAAACCCTTACATCCAATATTTCTTGCGTCATATGAATCACGACCGATTACGTGACTAGGTTTGGAGGTTCGAGGGCGGGTAGGTACGTACAGGAAATGACATCCTACAAAAAGTACGTGGATAAACAAACGCCGGCCAGTTCACGCAACGATGGTCAGCCCAATCGCTTGAGGAACTGTGGTAGCTCCGCAACACGATTTTGGACTCGTCTGTTTCAAATAAAATCACCATAAAATATGTTTCATGACAAAAAGTCACGGACATGGTGACTTGCCGGGGGGATGCCGATGGCCAGGCAAGAACAGCAGGTGCAGATCACGGGGAATCCGCCGCATGTGCCCTGCACGCGACCACGAGTTATGGACTGCAAATCCGACTGAGCAGACGCATCATAACTAAGCAGCAGCTCCTTTATAGGTCCGCTGGGCTTTCACGAGATGCATCCCATGCAGAAGAACGGTAGAGTGTCGGGCAACGTCAACCAACACAAAGGCATGCCATGAGGTGGAACGGCAGTGTCGGGCAGCGTCAACCGACACAGAGGCCTGCCGTGAGGTGGAGCGGCAGTGTCGAGCAGCGTCAACCGACACAGAGGCCTGCCTTGAAGTGGAACGGCAGAGTGTCGGGCAGCGTCAACCGACACAGAGTGTCGGGAGTAGCCATGAAGTGGAACGGTAGTGTCAGTGTCAACTAACGCAGAGGCATGCCGCTAAGTGGAACGGTAGTGTCAGTGTCAACTAACGCAGAGGCATGCCACGAAGTGGTACGGCAGTGTCAGACAGTGCCAACTAACGCAGGGGCATGTCACAAAGTGTACGACAGTGTCAGGCAGCGTCAACTAACGCAACATGAGGCTGGCTCTTCACCAACTCCCAGCTGATCTTTGTTCCGGTCGACCAAACAATGTCATGTATATTCTGCAACTTGAAATCGTTGTCAGAACAATTGCAATGGGAGATGTGATCTTACCAATGATGAGCTGAAAGCGCCAATGAAGGAACGCTCATGACACGCAACCCAACTGCATCGTCACATCTGGTGTTCGTTTCCTGTTCCTCGAAGCAGAAGCTCTTTAATTTCGCTTCTAGCGGACTCTTGAAAGAATAGCGACTGCTAAAAACATTTTCGTGTGCTGTTGCAAGGCGAGAAGATTGATAATGCTTGGTTACAAGGCCGTATGCTGTTATATGGTTGGCTTTGGGCCCGTGGGAAAGCGACCCTCTCTGTTATCGAAGTGAAGCTACCAGACTGACTTTTGCGTTCCTTTGCACCGCATGGTCCTCTGTCGGTTGACACCGCCCGACACTGTCGTTGCTCTGCGCAGCACGCCCCTCTGTAAATTGAAATTTCCCGACATTCTACCGTGCTTCTCCACGACATGCCCATCGCCACATCGTAGTCAAGCTATAAAGAAATTATGCCTTAATTGTTGTTCGTCTGTTCAGCCGGAGTTGCAGTACGCAGCTGGTGGTTGGACTCGTGGCTCAAACGGTGCATTCTCCATGACATACACCCCTCGTCCAGTGTCGTCCGTGCACTGTTCCAAATAAGTCAGAATAAAAAAGACGCCTTGCTCGTTATACAGCCAGCGCAAAATCTTCCTGGTGATAGCCTTACACAATCAATCATCCAACAGTGGACAACAAAGCCACCATACCGTTCTTTGATGCGCAGATCACCGCGGGCGAACACTTGGAATATCCTGCAATAGCAGCAGAACCGGCAGGGAGCCCTCGAAGCTCAACTCGGAGATCTCGAAGGCAGTCGGTAAATTAATACCTAAAATGACTCGGTCAAACAATGAGACTGTAGGTCTCAATGGCCATTCAGGTAGTGTCATGGGGGCGTTATCCATTAGATCACAGACTCTGTCTCGCCCTTTTACATTCAGAGGTTAATTTCTTTCTACGTAGATAAGACAGTAGTATTAGCCTTATTTTTCGGAAAAAACCAGGGAAATGGAGATAGAGTTGGGTTGATATTTCAGCAACATGATTTTATCGAATCAATAGCAGAAATCTGGCTTCCGCTATTGTTTCGATAAAGGCATGCTGCCGAGATATCAACCCAACTATATCTCCATTCTCCTGGTTTTTCTCCGAGAAATAAGGCTAATAGTACTGTATTATCTACGTGGATAATGTTCCTCGCTTAAGCACTGAACTTCTTTCTGCGTAGCCTCAACTTGACGACTTAAAGCTGCTGGGGTTTGGGTTTTGAGTCACTGGGTTTTAGAGCACCTCTATTTCTTACGATTGCTGTTTGTCTAGTGAAAGGCTTCTGTAATACACACCAGAGAGACGCAAAGGACGAATTCTTCGCTGCTTATAATGCATTAATTCTATGACATAAACCTGCAGTGACAAATAGACCCTCTTTGACCAGAAGACTGCAGCGGCTAAACTAACACAGCCTCATGGGGCTCGCGCGTGTACTATTGTTACAAAGGAAGAAAAGCAACTGATTTTGTCTCTCCTTTTCCGGCTTTATCCTGCGCCTTCTAACGTGTTACCCTCATGCCACAGCTGTAGCATAGGCTCTTCACTACATATATATGCGCTGGTTACGCCATCCGGCGATTCTACCGGGATTTAACCTGACACTCATACCTGTTGACCATGGCAACCCTGACGACACCAGTGATATGCATTTGCTAAGAGAAAATGCAACTTCCTGGCCCAGCAGTCTTAGCTGTCTGCTGGAGTTAGGCTCCAACAGGGCGCGGCGCGGTGTTGCTGGAGACTGCAGCTGAGACTGCAACGCCCAAACATTTTCTGGGGATTCCTAGAGGTCATGTGTTCGACACATGAGATTGAACTGACATTTTGCTTGAGGTCACTTCGTGGTGTTCTGCATATTTTTAAGCATGAAAAGGATGATGAAGGAGCACCCTCATTCTTGATTCGCATTGCTATGAACGTTGCAAAAAGCTGTCCTCGTTTCATTAAGTTGTCTCACGTTTCACGCGCAGGAGAGACCCCAAGCACACAGCACTTTGCCCTGGCCTTTTTGTCAGGCATGACTGCACAGGATATTTCTTGTTAAGTGGTAAGAAAGGGCAGAACGCGGCCAGGTTGACCCTGTGTGGTCAGTTGCAAGCTGACATTCCGTGTGAATCGGGCCAAACAACGCTGCGGTTCTAGAACTCCGACCCAGTGTCGCTGGATTACAAACACGCCTCTTGTTCGTAGACCAGGGAGGTGGCATGGTTGTCTTACTATTCCCAGGACATAGGAAAGACAATGTCACGGGAATCGGTCAAACATCTGCCTTTGATCCAACTTGCACTGTCATCGCTGATCCCCCGATTAATCTTTTGTGTTTCGATATTTTCAGATTAAGAATAAGAATACATTGACTAAAAAGAAAATGTTGCGGCTTCCTATTACTGTGTCTCCCAAATATTGTTCATGATGATACAGCTGAGCAGCCCCCAGATGTACATCGGTGTTAACGCCTTGGCAGCTGCGCAGAAAAGCCTGGACTCTGGGTTAATTCAACACGCCTGGTGTGCCGCTGTCCTGGTTAATAACAATTGCACCAAAGGCCTGGTTTTGAAAACCTGAGTAACGCAAAGTACGCATGGTTAGTCTATGCTTCTCCTCAGATTTCACCAACTTTTCTAGCAAAGCTGAGGGGGAGGGGGCTGGAGCCCAAGTTGGAGGGCTGGAGCCCCCCCCCCCAAACTAAATAGGTCACTACGCCCCTGATTCACTCCATGATGCCGGATGGAGGCCTATGGCCGCATTGGATGAACTGCAAAAAGCATTCGACCTTCCCTCTTCTTGGGGCGTTCCTATCCCCCGGATTTCGTGCACTGCCGTCTACCTTCACAATGTGAACACAGCATCGGCTACTTTCAAGACATACGGGCAGGTATGTGTGCAGGTGTAGGTGTGCAGATGGTGTGAGCGTCTCCGTTAACGATTTGTGACAGCAGACTCATTGACATTAGGTGTCTTCTAACCTCATTGGTCGTTGTGTAGCGCAGCTCCATCATTTTACATCACATTTTTCGCTGTAATACAGCTTCAGTCACCTCCCGAGTGACGCAAACATTTTTTGCAGAAAATTGTGACGCCCACAAATGTCTCCGCACCGCATTGTGCAGATATCACGGGTGTACACGGGGATGGACAATGACATCCGTGCTCAGAGCAAGGGTCCTGAGACTTAGTGTGCCCGAAAAAAAATGTGCAGGCAGGGTTTACATCACGCCTGCATTGCAAAACCGCGACCAGGCTTTGTTACCTTCGAAATATTGCTGCTTTCTCAACAGCAACATCCCTAATCATGAATATGCAGGAATCTGAATCACTCCATGAACTATTCATTTGAAAAAGCCATTGCTGATTGACGCACTCAATATTCTGGTAAACAGCTGCGGTTCATGCTGTCTTTGTGCTGGCGTCATGGCTGCAATAACCCTGACCAGCGCGGGGCCGTGCCCGCATGCAATCCGTCAGCCTGCACCGTGCAACACATGCAGGCCGGTCGTTGCAGCGCAGGCCGCACTCGGGGTCAGCCGAGGTGAAAGTTGCAGGTGTCCATCTCGTCCTGTCCCGGTGGCAACCACGTACCTTTGCCATGGGCCGCAGCTGCGCACAGCCCGACAAACAGCATGTGCGCGAGGGTGATCATGGCTGTTCGGCGGGGGGTCCGGCACGGAGCTGGTGATCGAGCTCTCACAGACACACAGGCACGCCGTTACAAACGCGCGCCCATTCCGCCGCGCAGCTCCGGAGCGACTGTCCGCGCAGCTGACCACAGCAGAAGACCGGCGTAAGGCGCATGCGCGAACTGGCGGCCACCGCGGCGCTGAGGTTTTGTGGATCGAGCAATACCGGCGCCTGGGAGGCCGGCGCGGCCGGTGGGGCGACAGCTGGCGGGTGGGAGATCCACGCGGCCCGGCCGCCGCCTCCGATACGGTGCAATAGTGCGTTACCGCTGTGTGCGAGCCGCACCCGTTAGCGGCGACAGCGCCGCGCCGCCGGCCGCAGCGCGCATCAGTTCCGAATGTCGCACGCCGCGCTCGATACGCTCACACCATTGCGGCGTGGAGCGCGGCGTCGGCTGACGCCACTCCTGCCTGCTGGAATGTTGTGGATGCACTCGCAGCGCAGCGGTGGACGCCGTCTGAGGCTGGAGCATACGACCGCCTGCCTAATGGGCAGTGGCGAACTTGAGGCGCCGGCGACCGGCGATGGTTTTCCGCTCGGATGCAGCAGCGACAGCTCGCTGACAACGTGGATTGCGGTACGGGTGGGATACGAGCCGCTGTTGAGACCTCGGCCGCGGCGCGCGTGACCCTGTCGCTGGGCAGGGCTGAGTCGCGAAGCCGTGCTTGGCGGCCGGAGAGCTGCGACGTGCTGCTTATCCGGTGACTGTCTCCTGTCTCTACATTGTCTAGAGAACAGCGTTCGCTTTGGAATGATTTGAAATAGTGGCATGCCCACAGGCTCCAACGCTTATAAACTGTCCCTTGCCGAAAGGCTGGGGTTTACTGTGTTCCTAGCTATGACTCGCCGTATCCAGTCCTTACAAGTGCCGGCACTGCGGTAGCCGTGGCTCGTCTTTTGTACAGCACGGGGTACAGCCTTTACAGCCGTCTCGTCGGACTGCGGCCATTCCGAACAAAGCAGTGGTACGGTGGATGGCTCGCTCACGATCTTACAGTAACCGAATCTCATGCAATTCTTCCTCGATGGGCTACCGGGACGAGTCCACAGTGACTGGCTGCTGGAGAATGGCCCGTTAGTCGGCGCACAGACTATAGGTAGTGAGAGAGTTCTGGGACAGCTTGGCTAAAAGCACATGAGTGGTGAGAATGGGGCCTGCCGAGAAAATGTGCCATCATTAAATTATTTCTTAAAAAGTGATTCGCGAACTTGGTCACTCGCAATGTGGGCATGGGTTCCATGCGGCTGGCGACACCGATAAACCGTTTGGAATACCTTTGAACACCTTTATGAGCCGAACAGCCAACCATCTGATGAGAACAACAGTCAGGTTTTAGCGTAGATTGTATTTAACAGCTATCCACAAGAACCAGTAAGTTCATGCCGGAAGTCAACGTTAACGCGCACCCGGGTGACCCGTTGAGTACCCTTCGCTCGGGTGGGGGTCAATTTGACCGTCCTGAGATCTCAGGAACTAAGTGGGCTAGAGATACCAAATTTACAGGGTGCCTTGGGCTGTACGTGAACTCACTTAGGTCAAAGTTTGAGGCTCTTAGGTCACGACCTCTGGGTCAAATAAAGTCAACAAGGTCAAGCTCAAAACTGGTCTCCAAAGTTTCCCCAGAGCCTAGATAGCTGTTCTAAGCAAAAATTAAAATGCTTCATTAAGGTCGTTGACCTATTTTACCTTTGGAATGTCATGGTGACCGGAATCATAGAAGACTGCCTTGAGTTTTGCATCTGAATAAGCGACAAAGATTTCGTTAGGCGGTATGTTCCCAAAAACGAAATCTTGATCTGGGCTATTCTAGGTCCAGTGACCTACTGTGACCTTTGAGAAGTCCATGAAAGATATGTTTTCCGGTTCCTGTTATCAATAAATTCGAAATGAGCACCAGAAACTACCCCATACAGCAACCCCTAGAATAACGAGATGGAATTGTTTTGAACTTGATCTAACCTTTATACCTGACCCTAGATCAATACAATTTGGTCATTCAATTGTTGTGTCGCCTAAGAAAGTATCTCACAGATGTATGGTCCCGTCTAACACTTCGTTGTTCCATCAGACTGAACGATTCCCTAGAAATTGACTTCTCTGATTCCGTGGCCAGACTTTAACACGCGCCCGGGTGGCCAGCTAGATACTCTTCGCTCGGGTGGGGGTCAATTTGACCCCGTATGAGCCCAGGAACTAAGAAAGCTAGAGGCACCAAATTTACAGGGTGTATTGGCCTGTACGTGAAATCATTTAGGTCAAAGTTTGCGGTTCCTAAGTCACGACCTTCAGGTCAGATAGAGGCAAACAAGGTTAAATTTCAGGTCGGTCTCCAAAGTGCCCCAGAACTTAGATAGCTTTCTAAGCAAAAGGTCACATGCTCATCTAGGGTCAGTTACCTTGTTTGACCCTTTAGAAGGTCGTGGTGGCCAAAATCATACAAGACTGCTCTGAGTTTTGCATTTGAGTAAGCGACAAAGATTACGCTGAGCAGTATGTTTCTCAAAACAACATGTTGTCCTGGGTCATTTTAGGTCAATTGCCTATTCTAACCTCCAATAAATCCATGGAAGATGTTTTATGCGGTTCCCGCTGTCAATGACTTCGAAATGAATGCCAGAAACTATCCCATACAGCAAGCCCTAGAGTAATAAAACAGGTTGGTTTTGACCTTGATCTGACCTTCGTACCTGATCTTAGGTCAATGTGATTTACTCATTCAATATTGGTGTTGCCTAAGAAAGCATCTCAGATGCATGGCTTTGTCTATCACTCCGTTGTTGCCTCAGATTGAACGATTCCCCGGAAACTGACTTCGCTGAAACCATGGCCTGATTTTGACCTGCCATAGGTCAGCGACCTTACAAGGTACATCTAAATTTTGGACGCCAAGCAATTTATTATTTAACTGTCTGCAGTTATGCAAAATTTCCCGCGGTTATGCCGCGCGTTGGGAAACCATTCCAGAGAAATCCCAAGGGGGGGGGGGTAATTTGACTCCCACCCGAGCGCGTGTTAAATTTAACTTAAACGCCGTTCTGTAACGAGGGGCGGCACTAAAGCAAAAAGCAGCGGTGGGGCGATAAGTTTCTTTTTTATTTAGCACAATTAGCAACAGTAATTCGCAGTCTCCAAAAATGTTAAAGCACCTTGGCATTGCTTCCACTGCGGAGGCAAAATTCAACGAGTGGAGAAATGTCTAAAGCCGTTTGGAGGCACTACGCCTTCACATCAACTGGGCTGAAATAAGTCCTGGGTGAGGGCTGGTCAGAGCCTCTAAAACAAATTCATGTCCCGTGGTCGTCCCATTTTTTTTTCTTGCCTGGATTTCGCCGACGACTTCAAGCGATGAGTTTTGTTGCATTATTCCAGACAGAATTAAGGTCAGAAACTTAAAACTTTGTCGGACAAAAACAACGCAAGAAAAGCTTTACAACAGGGGCAGTGGTCAGTCACAAAACAAACAGTCACAAACCTTCAGATATTCCGCGCCCGAACCCTGTTCCCGCCCGTCGCCCATCGGCGGCCGCCACCCTGGCCCGGCTGCCGCCCGTCGACGCCGGCCGCCACCCACGTGACTGGCTTGCACTTTCCCTCACCTTAAGTAACCAGTTTGATCCTTTTTTGTTGCACGACTAAGGTGCAAACGTTTTTTGGACAGTGCATGTGTCTGTCGAAAGCCTTTAGCGTGACCCAGCATTCTGGGGAAACAGGAAGTCGCGGTGCAGGTAATGCCGACGTGTCACTAAACCCTCCTAAAATTACCATATAGCTAACTGATCACTTAAGTCGCTATTTCAAATGCCTTCGAAGCTGCGGGCATCTCTGTTATCTTCATTCTGATGTTGTTTGCCTAACAGAAATAAATTTATTTTAGGCGCGTCATAAAACGCCAGAGAAGCGTTGGCCGTTTTCAGTAACGGTTGATGCCGAACCGAGCATAGAATGTTTGGCATGCTGTTTCAGGCTTGACGTTCAATGAAATGATCAACGCGTTTCATTGAACTTCCGGCTAACAGAATGGAGCTAATTATCCCAAATCCTCATGCGTTGGCCATGTGCCTCTCATTCGCCCAAGTTTGTGATTCGGTGTTAAATCATCGGAGCGTATATTATCCCACACCTTCATATCTATGCCGGTCCCCGCAGCCATGTCCGCGTGGCTTGGATGCCGACCCCAACGCGTGGTAGGCATCTGGCTTTGGGTCGCCGAGGCGGTGGATTGTTTGCCCGGCAGATGCCAGTTGGCGGGAGGCGAACGGGTCGTCACAACTGTACCACAAGACTGAGTCAAATGGTTAGAAGACACGTGAAAACGCTCCCCGGACAAGCGCAGGTTAAACAACATGTGCAAATTGGCGAAATGGCAGCCTTAAATAGCCATATCTATACACCGTTCTTCCTACAGCAAAGAACAAATCGAAAAGTGACAATAAAGTATGGCACTGAAAGGAAGGAATATACATTCTATAAATATATATTCTAAAACAAGCACGACTTAAGGATAATCATGGAATGGCAAAAACTTTTTTAAAATGTTTGTTAGTGTGTGCTCAACAAACACCGCGCGGCACTTGCGGCTCATGGTACTTTACTGTTTTTAGTCCCTGACCAAACAGGTGCGTTCCCGAAGCGATAATTTTTCACGGAATACCTTTCCACACTCATGGGTGTCTGACCTTTGTCGGCGGCCGCGGCCGCTGGCGAGTGCCGGCACGTGCTCGGTCGTGCCGGCACTCTCCTAAAGACTCACTCTGAATGAGCCGTGCGCTTGAAATGGCTGAGAACCACGTGGCCGGCGATGAAGAGATGGTTAACATTTAGTTACGCCCTATGAGGTGAATGCACAATGAACAATAGGCACTGATTTTTCAGTGAAAACCAAGTATTTAACATTTAACAGTCAAAACGTAAAATGTATAGTTGGCTTAGTCAGGCTTGATATGATACGTTCAATGTTCTTCTAGGAGTTTCATAGAATATCCAGAAATAATGTATATGATGATATAATATGATATCATCACCATATCATAATCATATAATAATAATCATAAATGAAAATAAGAT